TGCTAATATATATGATGCTGTTTTGAATAATGTTGAAAAATCAATAACATTGTAATATCCAAAATTTCTTGATGAGACACAGAAGGAATATTCTTACGATTTGAAAAATTTGAATAAATATATAATTTATAGTTTGTCTGGAGTTACTGGTTTAAGTTTACTATTAGGAAATGGGGATTTGTTTGTTGAAATTATGGCAATTCTTTAATTCTAGCAATACTTAAGATACATTAATCTTTAATATCCAGAAAATATAGAGATTTATTTTACTTTTAATGATATGATAACTATTCAACCTCTACTAAAATTTATCTATTTTCCTCAACTTTTATAGCTTACTAATATCTAGTTAAATTAAGAATATTCTGAAGGAAAATTCAATGTGTACAAATAAAACACTAACTTGATCATCAATCTTTCATGCCAAATATTTTAATTCCTAATGTTTGTATTCTTTATTTTGTGTTTTCAATGGATTAAAAGGTTTTGTATAAATGGATATTCTGTTCTCGGTACTTTTGCTGTATGTCATCTTTATCATTATATATAAATCCAAAAATAATCTTTAAGTTTAGTTAATCCTTTTATAACATTTGCATGGAACTACTTAAATTGAAAAGATTTATGTCTTTTTAAGGATTATAAAAAGCCTTATTTCTAAATGGCTGGGATATGATATTTAAAACATTATTGTATACAAGAAACATTTTAACCAAAAATTACATAGATATTGTACAAATTATTATCGCAATCATAATACTTATCCTTTATTTTACCATTTTCCTAAATTTCTTTAAAGGTAAATCAAAATTATCAAAGAAGAACAGCTACTAAATGTTTGAAATGCTGAGTTTTGGTAGATAATTTTTCTTTCTATTATTTTTAATTTATGTATAGAGTTCCCAAATACTTTAATTAGGATTACTCCTTATGACAAGCATATTTTAGATTGGATTCATATTTAATTATCGTTGTATTTTTAATAAAAAAAATTACATTGTTTAAATTGTAGTTGAGATATCAGTATTAACATTTATCCTTAGTTCATTCTTATACATCTAAGAGTTTAATGAATATTTTAATGAAGAGAAAAAAATTTTATTGGGATGGGTTCAAGCAATCATACTATCCAAAGGTATAACTATAGAGTTAATTTGGATCTGCAAAGATTTATTATAAAAATTGATATAGAACTGCAGAAGTTAATCACAAATTGTGAATAATCCAATATTTCCATGATGATTATTAATAAATAGTGCATAAAATTATATATATATATATAAAATATTCAAACAAAATCTCTTATTTGCATAATGAAATAAATTTAAATAGGGATTATTTAACATTGATTTGATTTTAAATTTCTAAAATTTTAAATAGATATTGATGATATATTAATTTAATTTTCTGTTAAAGAGATTTATTTACAGAAAAGTGTAGATTTACTTGTTACACTTGCAATAAATACTAGAATCAAAATAAAAATACCTTGTAAGTCACAATTAAATTATTAAATTGAGCCCAAGTAAGGTTTATCGTATTCGTAATTCTCTGGTTCCTTCTTTTGATTTAATTATTAAAATGAAGGAATAGATTGTAATATTTTTATTGATTTGAAAGTGTAGAGGTTGCAAATTTTTTTATTTGTTTCGATCAGAAAGATACGATAGACAAGATAATAAACTTTAAGAATCTAAATCCTTAAAAAAATGAATCTTTATTATTTTCATAATTAGAAAAGAAGTGTTCCAAGATTCATTTTATAAATAATTTTCTGATGAACAATAATACCAAAATAAAAATAAAATGAAGCTCGAAGCTCATGATTTGAAGATTTACATGAATTGATTAAAACATACTCTACTGTAAAGGAAGTATCAATTAAGAATATTTATTTACACACCAAAAATAAAAAGTCAGATTACAGAAAATCTGAATTAAAAACATTGTTATAAAATAAATTGGTAGAAAGAATAATCTATGAAAAACAACTTTTTAATAAAGATAAAATTTGGTGTCATTCATTTCTTTTTTAAAATTAAAGCACTCTCAATCAAAACCCAACTTTAATTTTACAACTATATAACAATTTGGCTATGCTATATTAAACGAAAATTATTTTTGATATTGATTTAGTTTAAGTAAGAGTAATCAATAATTAAAACTATGCTAGCAATATGAATAGTTTTAAGCAAATTGTTAATTTATAATTATAACTTTAAGAATTATAAATTTTACTTTTTTAAGTAGATTATCCAAAGGTGGATTAGTTAATTATCAAGTTATAGAAAATTATTATATACGGAATTATGTTTATCTAACTTTAAAATTTTTTATATTACAAAGAAAACTGGTTTTTCCAAATGCTTGGTATTTTTCTTTGTTGTATTGAAACTCAACAAGTAAGCATTATTATACTCCTAAGGATCATAAACAAAAGAAATAATAAAACAAGAAAATTAAATATTTACTTGATATTTATCAAATTTACTTAGATGGGGTGAACTAAATATATAAGAAATGAAAAAATAATTAGAATAAAGAGGAGCTGATATTAGATGGAATTAAGATTTTCATTTAGTAATTAATGATATGAGTGATGATAAATAGAAAATAATGTTGAATATTTAAATATGATTAATAATTATAATCTTAACAATAATTAATTTATTTGAAACAGCAATTTTATATAATGAGAATCAATTTAGAATTCAAATTATTTTTGGGAACTATATTTCATTATTCTTAATATTGCTTTTCTATTAAAGATTTCGAGAAATCTATAGAATTTACATTGATAATTAATATTATTATGTATAGATAAAATCAATCATTATAGAAATAAAATACTTTTAATAAATCTAAGAAAAGAATTTCAAAAATTTGGTAATTAATTTTTAAAACCAACTCAATAAATCTCAATCTATATTATTATGATTCTATTTTTACAATATTTTTCAGAAATAATTAGATTGAAAATTTAGAATTAATTTATAAAGAATTATAAATATGTCTACATTTAAAAATAAGTGATGAAAAAAGTGATTCTAAACAATAATAATATTTTTAAGATTTGGGTAAATACAATTAAAATTTGATTGTTTATAATGAAATACTTTAGGTCAAAAGGACATGATGTTTTACTAAAATAGTTAATATTAATATTTATAAGGATCTGAATAATTAAATCAAGAATAATTATTTAAAAAAATGGCCATCTAATAGTAAAAGTATTTCGAATATAATTTTTATCAAGATATAAACATAATTCAGAATTTAAGTGATGTTATAATCAATTATATATGATGATTAACTTAATTTNNNNGTTAATTATCAAGTTATAGAAAATTATTATATACGGAATTATGTTTATCTAACTTTAAAATTTTTTATATTACAAAGAAAACTGGTTTTTCCAAATGCTTGGTATTTTTCTTTGTTGTATTGAAACTCAACAAGTAAGCATTATTATACTCCTAAGGATCATAAACAAAAGAAATAATAAAACAAGAAAATTAAATATTTACTTGATATTTATCAAATTTACTTAGATGGGGTGAACTAAATATGATCAAAGTAAAAAAATTGAATTAATGAAGAATTATTAAATTTAATTTGAAATGTTTACCAAGTTAAAAATGTATAAGAAATGAAAAAATAATTAGAATAAATTATGATATAGTAATTAAACTTATTGATAAAAGTGATGATAAAGAGTCATAGATTTGTCTTACAATTTATAGTTAAAAATGAATCACATTCGTCTTTATTGAATCAATATCATTTATATACTAAATATATTATTATTAAATCACGACTCAATCTTTGAACATTTTTCTTTTAATTGTGGAATATATCTATTTTTGTCTATTTATTGATAAATTTAGTTTGATGCCCACCATCATTTATCTGGAAAAAATTTTTGAAGATATATATCTCACTAATTTTAGTAAATATTTAATTCGTCAATGGGTTTTCCATGCGGGTAAAAAAGTTAGTGATTGATTGGTTTGATGTTAGAACTAAGATGTATCACTTTTTAAATTAGTAGAGGCAATTGTTCATGAAGGAATAAATTCATTATTTCAATGAAGTATATATAATACCAAAAACCAATATTTGCTTATGAAAAAAGTTGCTATAAGAATAAATAATTAATGATGTTTTTAAAATGGATTTACCCAAATCTATGAAACTTTAGAAAAATAGTATGAAGAAAACAATAGCTAAAATAGTCGATTATTATTTAATTCAATTGATGGATATCAAGTTGGAGTGGCTTTTTTAGGTTACAGAAATAACAACAAGAGAGCACTCGATTTTTGTAATCTTTTTAATAAAAATCATAAAAAGATGTAATTTACAAGGTAATTTTTAGCATAGATGACTCATATATGGCAATATACCTATTGAATATTAAAAAAGAATAAGAGAAATTTAAATGTTATATAACTTGAAAATAAGTGTTAGGAATGACAAGCTAGTTTATTGAAGTATTACAAAAAAATCTAGAACTTTATCTAAATAGAAGAAGTGAAGGGAGATGAAGCAGAAAAGGATGTACTCTCTTAGTTCGAATAAATAAAAAAATTTATTTTTTCTGATTATTAAGATAGTTTACTATTAATATTTTTATTTTCTGAAGCTCTTTCCCATGAAAGAAACTATAATCTTTCAACTGATGGCAATATTGATAAATGCTAAAAAATTATTTTGAAAACGTTGTTGAGAAATATTAATATTTCAAAGATGAATAATTTTTTATGGGGTATAAAAATCAACAATAATTATCTTAATTTTTAATGAAGATTGTAACAAAATTCGATTGTAATCCTATCTATCACTTTTCACTTTTAGTAGAAAAAAATTATAAAGAATATTTAAAACCAAACTTAGAATCTATTTTGTTATCAGAATAATTTATTTAAGATATTAATGGGCTTTGAGAGAGTGCATATATTTGATAATACTGACTCCCTAAGAAACATAATAAATGGATGTGAGAAACTATAAAAATATAGTATTATCTATTCCAATCGTAATGACCTTTAGTGCTAAAAATCACATCGAATCAGGCTTATAATTATGTCCTGAACCTATGTAGTAAGTTAAAACTCTAAAAAACTTATCTGAATGAGGCTACTGTCAGCATCAGCTTGGTAATCAATAATATTGATTAATTACTTGATATTTATCTTCATACTATGAAATAGATTCTGTAGTTATTCTTTCATAATTATACTTATCCCATCCTCCTTTAAAATTTTCTTACTTGATTTTTATTTATCAGAGAATTTGAACTTTATAAAAGATAATAAAATCAGAATAATTATTCTTTGATCTTATTTTCTATAAGCAATAAATTACTATTGAATTAATTGAAGTTATATTAAATCCGACTTATGTCTACATTCGATTTGCAAATAAGACTAATTAGCATCGAATTGGAAAAAATCATATCTATTCGAGTTTTCGAACTTATAAGTTGGTTTATATTTTTTAATTTAAAGTAAAAACAATTTCGATCCCCAGATCAACATAAAAATCACTTTCAACTGGTTTTTAATAATATCATATCCTAATGAGTTGTCTCCTTAACATTTGCAACCAAATAATGTGCGAATTAAATATTATTTATTATTAATAACCATATAAGTTTTTAGATTCATTAACTTATTGGTCATTAAATCAATATAGTTTGATTTATTAACGCCATTAGTTTAATATACTTATTCTATTCCTAAATTCTTAATTATTTGATAAAGGTTAAATATTAAAACTTTATTCTTTTAATTTATTTTTATTCTAAATTTATAATTTTAACTAATTGTTCATGTTCCTATTCTTCTTTTTTTTTAATAAATATAAGCTCAACTCATCTAAAAATGATATGTTTAATCTAATCTTAGGATGACACTCTTGTAATTCACATGCCTTAAACATGATGAATCTTAAGCCTACAAGAGAATTGAGTTATGAATAGTTTTATTATTCTTTTTAAGATTTAATATCCATAATTTAAATTGTTGTTGTGATTTTCAGTTTAACTTATCTTTTAAAGTAATATTTTTTGTAAAATATCTAAATCTAATGAAAAATATTTTCATTTTTTCCTTTTTAAGTAATGTAAAAATTTATCATTAACTTTACCTTGATTAAATATACTTAGAATTATTTATCCCTTAAATTCTTTTTATTTATTGTCATAGCATTTAGTAATGATTCAACAATAATTGTAAAAGTATATTTAGATTTTTCAAGCATAGTGCGGAAATCAAACATAAAAACTAATGAAGCTATATATTTTGACTAATTTAGATTGATTTTTAAATTATAATAGTTTTGCTGTTATGAAAAATTTGAGGAAATCCTTTTTAAATTATAATCATAAAAATGAATCAGGTCAACTGACGTTATTGTGGTAGAAAATTCATAGGTCTATAGAGAATCTTGCTATTCTTTTTTAGAGTCTATAATTAAATGAATATTGATTAATGTAAAGTAAATTTTAGAAAAAAATACTATATTGACAACAGTATTTCTTACTTCAAATTCTAGGAATTCCTATTCTGATTAAAGTCATAAAAGGTTATTTTCCTTATGACTTTATGGAACATTGGTATTTCAATAATTGTTAGTCTTTTTCTTTACTTATAAGATTAGCTTCTGATTCTAGAACTTTAATTTTGTCTAAATACTAACATAGACCATTCACATAGTTTGACTGTAGATATTTTATATAAAAGAGTTTTTAAGATTAGAAATTTATAATTGTTAAATATTATTTTATAATAATCAAATAGCAATTCTTAATATTTGAAATTATTATATAAAATTCAATTTTTAGCTCAATTAAGAAAATAATTAAGTGTTCACATAATATATTACAATAGTTGTATATCACCCTAAATATTTCATCATCTCTTATCTCAATATCAAAAAATTATAATCCAATATACCTGATTAATCCAATTAATCAATGTAAATAGAAAACTATAATAAAAGTAACTATTAATTTTCTATTTAAAATTTAAAAAATTTCTTGAATCCAGATTAAAATTTTAAATCACTTTTTTAATTTATAAAAATGATTAATGTTCCAATTTTTGGGAGTATTGAAAAAGTATAAATAAATTAATTTAATAAGAGGAATATTATTGAATAGAATTTTTATGAGTACAATAAACGAATTATTGATTGGAATATAAATTAGAATAATTAAAAACTTAATAGTATTTAGAGGAGGAAGATCATTAAACACACAACACAAAGGTAAGATAATAAAGTTTTTTACTGAGTGGAGCTAAGTGAAGATTATAGTGAGAGTTTTTAAGTTATGTACTAAATAGTAAAAAAAATTACTATATGGGACTTTATTATTAGAAAGAAATGAAAAAATATATTATATAGTTTTAAATTAGTATGGAATAACAATTTATTTTAGAGGTGGAAGATTATATCATGAAACAGGGAATTGAGTAAAGTTTGGTAATTAGGTTGAAATAATGGATAATTTGTAATTTATTCCGAAGCAATATTTATTGGTGAAATACCTAATATTGATTCACAGATTTCAAGTGAACTTGCAATCTATTATACAGGAAATAAATGTAGTTAATAATATTATGGATGATAAAAACTATAATACTATTCCAGATTAGCATCATTCACTTTTCAAATTTTTGCGGTAATTTTTATCTGTTTTTAAAAGGCCAAGCATATTGTCTTGAAACAATAAGGTCAAATGAATTCATAATTATTGTAACTCCTTATTGATGATTTAAAAGAAATGCCGATTTGGTCTTATTGACTTTTGAATTCATTCAAAATTGTTTTCTGATGCTCAAATTGGATTGATAATCATAGTATATTTGTAACTAAAGAATTAATAAATTCAATTGATAATATATATTTTCATAATTTGCATAAAACACTAATGAAATAAATCTAAATTATTTGATTGTTTATAACCAACTAAAATTCTAAAAGAATAAATAATCAATAAATTAATTTCTTCATTTCAATCTAGAAAATGATTAATTATATATTTAAATATTGAAGAAGTTAAGAATTTGTATAATGTTAATTTTTTAATATTACTTTATTAAATGGTTAATCAATTATTAAAAAGGGTGAGGGATCAAAATTAGAATAAATTCAAATTTAATTAAGAAATTAGTAAATTAGTCTAATTAAAGCAGATTAAGTATATGATAATATGTTCTAGTACATAAATCTTAGGTTATATCTTTAAGTAACTGTGATGAAAGCAAAAAATAAGTGTTAAACGATTTAATCAATGGAATCAAGAAAAAAAATAGTTGATGCATCGGGATAATAACAACAAGACTTTTAATCCAGATATTAAATGTGCTCTCAGAATAAGAGATAGTTTATTAGTGCTAGTTGGTTTTCGATTTATATCTACGAATATGAAAACAGAATTAATTTATAAATCTAATTAAACTGATAAACAATAAAGCTTAATTCCAAGTTTCATTTATCTTTTACAAACCTCAGTCGAGAAAGATAGGGTATAAATAAATTCGAAAGTAATTATGAATGAGCATATCATTATTATAATCTTGTTAATAATGTTAAAAACAAGATTTAAAATCATTTAAATCATGATCTATTGAACTTTGTCAAACATTATTATTAAAGATTAAGTGAAGGAAGATTCTATTCTCTTTTAAGAGAATAATTAATATATAATACTAAAAGAATTATGTGGTCCATTTAAAATACTCTCTCAAAGGCATAAATGGATGATAATATCCACATATATTATATATTTCATCTTTAACTATTCTGGTTTATTTAAATTAAAGCTTAGAAAAATAATTAACTTCTGAATTTGCTAAATGATAGTAGATTTTATTTTAGGTATAAAATATTATATTATTTTTTTAGAGATTCTTAGTATTACATTCTATTCATATTCAAACCTCTATATTTAGATTATCAGATTTAGAGATAATGATAAAATTTTAGATTTATAAATAATAAAGAATCTTGTCATATATATGTGAAATATATGACTATGTATATTCTTTTATCATTCAATAAATTAATAATAAGCTTCAACTTTTATCACATGTAATCCTATATTGTAGGTATT